CCTGAATACGCGTTTTCCAAAATATGCTTGCATTTAAAACAGGGGCGACATTTTGGGTAACTTAGATGAAACGTAGGGTATGCATTGTTTTGTTTTACCTGTAGCTAGCACTGGGTCTAATAGTATATTTCCAGCCTTTCTCACTTGTCTTCATAAGGTAAGCCTTGCAAACTGGAGATCAGTCTAGTAGAGACGAGTTTGACCTGTACTTTTTCTTAAAAGCTGCAAAATAAACAAAATTCAACCCGGAAAACGCGAAACAAAGTTCGTTTAAACCGGTTGAACTACTTTGTGTGAAACGCTCACTTAGCGCGTTCTAAAAGACGCCCTGTTATGATGTACTTTCCTTCAGACATGCATGCTAGAGAACATCAGTAAATGTGCTATACTCTCACGTCGTTCCCAGAAGGTGCAGCAAGGTTTTCGTCCATGGCGGCATATGCCTGGTGCAAAGAAAGCGCAACATAATGACTACACGAACAAATCACTTGCTTCTAGGTTTGCTGGGATATCGTGAACACCGGACAGCAATCCTTAGATGGCTACAATGTTTACAAAATCCTAAAGTGCAGATTTCCCATTGGCTGGAGCGGTCGCAGGAATACGACATTGAATGTCGACATCATCCGAGAAGGAAACGGGAGAAACGACACCGTGAAATTAGACCTTCAGGGTTCATGATAAATGATTAGCATGCGTTGTCGTATGTGTATTCAAAGTTGACATGCATCCCCTGCAAAATGACTGGTGGTTTTGGTTTCAGACATGTGAATTCTAATAAAGTAAATGGCATTATCACATCAGCCATGATACGGATGAACAGTTTTTAAGTAGCTGGCTCGCGTTAGTCAAGAAATATTGATATCGGTTTATATGGTCAATTTTGCGTGTGCTAAAGGGTGATATATATTTACGGAACTGTGTGAGCTATTTGCAAATAATAGTAGTGCCTACATCTGAAACGTCGGAACTTGTGCGGATGGTTCAGGCAGATTTGAGACAAGCTAAATAGAAAAAATGACCTAAAATTCGGTTTCGGTTTCGGTAGAATTATAAGCTTTTAACGTTGCGAAATTCTTAAAATTACGCGCGGAACGCAAGCGGCTTGAAAACTGAGATCTACTATTACATTCCGCATTAGTAAATTTTGGTTGGAGTTGCAAACGACTTAAATTAAACAAACCTTTTCCAACCAATCCAGACTATTGCTAGAGGTTATTGCTATGGTTGCAATAGTGAATTACGTTACTTGATGATAAAAGCCGGAAGTATTCAAAATACATTCACGTGAAGCGTGGCGGGAATATTCTAGAGCGTGCAAGGGGTAATGCGAATATGTTTGCTATCTGCCATCTGCTAATTCCAATATTCAGTCAAAAATTAAGGCACATTTATAAGTGGGACGTATTACATGCTGTTATTCGTAAGACAAAAAGTGTCAAGCCTTAACAAACTTACGAAAAGGTAAAATGCGCAAACAGTAGACTAGAGTTTCTGTGACAGTCAATTCTAGATAAAATACACATAATTATTGTGACACATAATTTTCTATTAATAGTAGACAATATATCAACAGTCAATTTAATGATATAAGTTGTCTCTCCTTTTAAATAGCGGACGAGCGCAAGTGAAACTTTTTGATACATTGCTCCTGCCATCATGCAATGAACCTCAGCTTGATCTTGAGCATATAGTTGAACTGCCGTCTAGTTAGATGCATTGTGTCTTTTGACATAAGTGCACTTCTAACACTTATAAAGCCACCAAAACTTTACTTTGACTGGAGGTAGTGAAGTCAATTTACTTGCTATATAACTTCTGGCTTAAAATTGCTGTAAGATAATAAGTGAACAGGTGAGACTTGGTCACAGGAAGGAAGGAAACATTTGTGGTAATAAATGAGTTGTCAGGGTACACCTACGAGATAACGA